TCAGAGTCAGAATTGTACGCAAGAATGACAGAATTGAAGTGTTCTGAGTTCAGGGGCGATGGAATTGTATGTCACTAATACACAGGGTTTTAACGAGACGCATTAAATTATCTTTTAAGGGGATTCAGCATCTCAGCTATGCATTCATTGCACCAGGAATTGTACTGGAGCTTGGGATTTTCCCTTTAGTGCCGTGATATTCGTAAAGGCTTCTGGCAGTTGTGTTTTTGCAGCCGTGGTCACCTCAAGACACAGGCAAGATGAGGTTTGTAGGTGGAAGTGACACCTTTTCAGGCACGCAGAGCTGAAGAAGGGGCTTTGAGCCTCACTTTGTCCCCTTCTTCTGTGTTTAGTGGTTGCTGTAATAAAGGATATTACTTCATCTACAGACTCTATCTTGTCTTGCTTCTGATCCTTTTACCAGCCAGGACTTATTTTTGCTACTGTTCCAGTTCTTTGAGGCTTACCACTGACCTTGTTCATGTGTAATAAATGGGGAAAAAAAAAAAGTGCTGTAGGATTCAAGGAGCTTTGCTTTAGAGATGCCAGAGAAGATGCTTTTCTCTGGCTCAAAGATCCCTGATGCTTGAGCTTGTGGATTAAATCCAGTTGCTGGTTCCTTCAGGGGAACTGTCTTCCGCAGCAATTTGTTGTTGTACCTCAGTTTCACTATTGGTTTTTCCTTCTATCCCAGGGATATCTTCGATGAGTTACTAGAAACGGAAAAAACTGCACAACCACTTAGCATGGAAGTAGGAAGATCAGTTCGTCAGCCTCTGTGAAGAGTCAAACACCTTGTTCCTCCTGAGGAACGAGGAAGATTCTGAACTTGTGCCAGACACGCAGGAGTAACAAACAGCTCAGGGCCAAAACAAGAAACAAAATGTAGAAATATGGGACGCTCGGTTTGTTGAACCATCTGTGCACGTCCTGGGCCTGATCCACACGTTTAAACCTTGACATCCCAGAGCGACCCTCCTGTGGTGAAGTTTTTATTGTTCCTCAAAGAATTTTGTCAGCATGGAGCCTTAAAGAGTTGCATCAAGCCACAAGACTACAGCTGCTCATAAACTGATCTAAAAAAAAAAATTGCAAAAAGAGACTCGACTTTAAAAGCCCATTCACCTGTGAGACGTGAGTGGCGAAGATTTACATATCACTTGGCTTTTCTTTTTCTTTTTTCTTTTTTTTTTTTTCTGTTTTTGTTCTCTAAGAGCAATTTAAGCAATAGATTCTGTAACCTGGCGTGTGTCGTGTTAGTAATATTCACTGGAAACCCGGATCACTGCGTACGCTTTTGCCGGTCGTCTCGCTAACGGGCGTTTTGGAATCCCTCAAGCCGATGCGTTTTGACATCCCTGGGTTTGTAAGCGCTCCGCTCGTGACATCCAGTCCCAGGAAACAAACTGTTGGTGCTGTGGAATGTATTGCATACCTGGTGGCAGCTCTGTTGTGGTTTGTTTGGCGTTTTTTTGATTTTTCTGATTTTTTTTTTTTTACACCATTCACTGTCATCCTATAGATGTGAGATTATAGATGTGATTTCTTTCATTTTACAGGCTCGATGATTTGATTGCGTTTTCTTCATGAGGTTTTTCACACAGGTACCGCTTGGAGAGGAGGGATCTCTCTTCGGGCGGGCGCTGAAGTTGTGTTCCTTAGGGCTGCTGCAGCAGAACTCCAGGGGCAGGTGAACCCCTGGAGAGGGGTGACTGGAGGGGAGCAACAGCCACTTCTGGGAGGGAAGGAGCATTTTAGCGTTGTCCTTTCCAAGGAAAGGAAAAGGCAGCGTCTGCAGGGTGGAGCTTGGCAGTCGGATCGCTCTTCAGGTTGAACCGTGGTCTTGCCTCGGTCTTCCCGTATCCCAGGGTAAGAGGGTTTTTGCTGCAGCTTATGCCTCTGCTCTCCTTTTGGGAGGAACGCAGAGCGCTCAAACTGTGAAACTAAACCAGGTGGAAAGCTTCCAGCGTTACCAGAACACAGTTAGGGGGAAGTTGTTAAGTTTTATTGGATTTAGAGACATGATTATCCTTGTATAGCTTGTTTCAGCAAGGGAGGGGGACTTTGTTTTCTTGTTTGGATTTTTTTTAGCACCTTTGCACTTGGTAGGGGCAGACGTTTCCTTTTGCTGGCATTTACTCATTTCAGAGAATTTTTTCCTGTTAAGCAGAGTAGTTGCTCTTGTTTTGGTCTCTAGTTCAAATTCTCGCCACTTGAGTTTTAGAGGTGAAAAGACTTCTTTTAAAAACAAAGAAAAACGCCTTTTTTCGCTGTTGAGAGAGTTTCTGGGTTGTTTGTTTTTTTTTTTAAACTGTTGTTAGGAGTTTCTCAGGAATAAATCAGCTGAAGCAAAGCAGACAAAACAATCGATTTGGGAGACAGCAGGCAGGTCTTTCATGGGCGCTTCCACACTAGAGTTTATCCTCGTGAGCTGGCAAGGGGCTTCTACCTTGGTGGCCTCAGCCACCTTCCAGTCCGTGTGTCGGATGAGCCCGGAGGACCTGATCAGGGTGTGACACCTTCCTGGTTTCCAAGCTAGGAGCGAACGTTTAGTTGTAAACGTTGACAGAGAGTTTATCTTGTAAAAGATGCAGCCCAAGTGGGTGTATATGTTAATTTATTACAAAGCATTATACTTTTTTATTGTCGATGCTAATTTTTTGGGTAGAATTCTGGGCAGTGGGAAGAGGCGGAGATGCGGGAGTTGTCCCTTGAACTGATCGCCCCAGCCGGTGCGCTGAAGGGACTGCTCCGTCCAGTGGGCAAATCTGTTTTCCCCAAGTGCATCCTACGCTAGCGCTGTAAATAAACAGTATTCCTGGAGTATCAGAAGTCAGTTCTGCTTTTTTTGGGTGGCGAGGTTGTTTTTGCAAGGCGCTGCACTCCAGTTAATTTATAATAAAAGCCAGCATTGCCTGACTTTTCAGTGCAGCAACTTTTGTTTAAAACCAGTTTGTCTGGATCAAGGTGCGAAAGCTGATGCTTGAAACCAGTGCTCCTTGTTTTATGAAAAGTTCTTGCTTATTATTCTAGCTGTTAAGAAGCATCTGTTAATTCATTTAAACTTTTTTTTCGTTTGGTGTACGGCTGCTCAGTTGCACCTTCACCCTGGCAGGAGTGTCTGTGGAGCCTCTTCCTTGCAGAAGCCAGCTTCGTCCCTTCCAGGTGGGATACCTGTCCTGGGATACCTGTCCTGGGGTGTAGGGAGACGGAGAAGTTCAGTCGCGGTCCCTGAACACGTGTAAAAACTCTTTCTCAGATGCACAGAGTCGTGGTTTAAACATTGACCTACTCCTGAATCAGCCTAGTTCAGTCCAAGTGTGATTCAGCAGATAAATGCAAGGAACTCCCATCCTGCCCCTTCCTCTTGCCCCTTCGTTGTTCTGACTGCGATAATTCGGTCTCGGTTTTTCTCCCCTCCTCCCAAGAGGTGCAAAACCGTTTGAGTCGATGAACTGGAGCTTGTGTTTGCGGGTCCCCAGGGAGCCCCGCTCGGCGGGGCTGCACAAAGAGCCTTTGCAAAGACAGGACTGGTTTTCTGACCGGAGGGGAGCTGAGCAGGAGGAGAAGCAGGTCTCTTCGTCTGCCTGCGGCCGTGGCGTCGCCTTCCACCTCCTGCTTGGTGCAGCACAGAGAAACCATCCCCTGTGGATCTTCCCTCCTGCCCCAGGGAAGGGCTGATGACCAGCCCAGCGCTTCCTGCTGCCGGTCACCCCAGCGTGGGACCGTGGGGATTGCCGTGCTTTGAGGGGGGCTAGGAATAACTCATTTGCTTTGTTTTCTTTTTAATTGAGCTCATTATCCCTGTAATCGCCCGCCAAAGAGAGAAAAAAGGGTGTGGGACCCCTGGTAGCTGCAGTCTGCATAGCTCTGCTGCCCGGTCCAGCATTGCCCACCGCGGGGTGGCCACTGCTGGCTTCATCCTGCACCCTGACTTTCTGGTTCTTTACACTGTTGATGTGGAGCAGCACTTTTCTCTGTGTTTTAGCAGACCTGTTCCTCTCTATTATTTACAGTTTTTGCTCTTGGGTTCCCTCTGCCCCTTTTTAAAAGGATGTGTAGATAGAATTTTTTTTTTTTTTTTGGTGAAATTAAAATCTCTTTATTAACCCTCTCTTGTCTTGAGATCTGATTTCCACGCTGAACGCTGCGAAGATGGGCACTGCCACCTCCGGCCTGCGCTTGCCGTTGGGACTTTGCCCGGGAACATTGTGTTTGTGTGTTCTACACCTCCCAGCACCTGCGAATCCCAGCCCTCCCTGCCCAAGATGTGTCCCTGCGGGGGACCCTCAGCCCCTCTCTGGGTCCCCAAACGAGCGGGAAGATCCTGTCCTTTCCTCCCAGGGTGAGGAGAGGTGGTGGCTGGTGTCTGTCCCCACACACACACGCCATCCCCTCAGCCCTTGTTGCTTTTTACCTTTGGTACCGCACGTGTTTGCTGAGGTCTGGGCGATAACGGAGGGAGTGGCTCCAGCTGTATACAAAACCTTTAGACCCGAGCTGCAGCCTCATTTCTGAGCTGGGGGACACCCCCAGCTCCCCAGGAAGTCCGAGGAGTGTGCAAAGCCCTTGAGCTCAATGCGGGTGAAGAACCTGGAGAAGGAGCTGAGGGCGCTTTCCCTGTGCTGCCTCGGTGTCTGGGGAAGCCCCGTGTCCCCGCACACATCATCTCTTTGCTGAATAAGCCTCACAACCTGGGCTGAGCCCAGGTGTCGAGGAGGGGGAGAAGACACAGCCCCACTCTCCAAATATATTTTATTTAATAAAAATAACAAACTGGGGCTGTCCACAGGCACAGGCTACTGTCCTAGAAGAGTCCTTTGTCCTTCTTGAGTTTCTGTTGTTTCCACAGTGGCAGGGTG